CCTAAAGTGGGTGTGGTGAGTGGTGCAGTAAACCGCCTTTTCATTACCTCATCTGAGTGCGCCTCTGGTAAGTCACATGGTTAATGGTGGCACACTGTTCCCTCCTTCAGAAGAACAGGGGACTACAGTCAAGGCTAAAACCATGGAAGGCTTTCTAAAATGGATCGAACGAGTGATTCCATGGTTCATTACTGGGGGAGGCTTAAATGTCCCAGATTGGGAGGAGGTTCACTGTGATCTTCAGAGGGCCGGGCGTTGGTGGCCCACGCCTTTAATCCCAACACTTGGGAGGCAGAGGCAGGTGGATCTCTGTGAGTTTGAGGCCATCCTGGTCTACAGAGCGAGTTCCAGGACACCTTCCAAAACAATACAGAGAAACCCTTTCTCAAAAACAAAAAGTCAAATAAAAAATAAGTAAAATAAAAAATAAAAAATCTCCAGCCTTTCGCCTGATCCACTGAGGTCAGGAAAGTAAAGGAGAACCTGAGAGGTTGCCCTCAGTTGGAGGGTGGATTGGGTTAAATCTTCATGCCTTCCTCCAACACCAAGATCGGGAAAGAAAGGGGAACCTGAGAGATTGCCCTCAGTTGGAGGGTGGATTGGGTTAAATCTTCATGCCTTCCTCCAACACCAAGATCGGGAAAGAAAGGGGAACCTGAGAGATTGCCCTCAGTTGGAGGGTGGATTGAGAAAATCTTAAGGCGTTTGCGTGAGGGATCATCCTCGGTTGGAGGATGGATTAAAAGTGGGTGAATTGAAAATTGGTAACAGTTAATAAACAGCAGATTGGATTAGAAAGAGTACTCACAAACTTCAAATAATTTTCAAAAGTTATTTGGAACATAGTATAGTTTATAATCTTTGAGTGATTTTCAGAAGTTTTTGGGAAATACTTAATGGTTATGTCTTTTTTAAAGGGCATCTACTAGTAATTTAGACAGTGATCCCAACTCACCTACATAGTTAACTAAGGAGGGTAGACAAATCCTTCTAATCTTATAGTCCAGCATCAACAGATGTAAGCAAATAGTTCAAACAAAATTTAAAAAAACAAAAAGGGGGAGTAATGTCCCAAGTCCCCACATGATTCATTAAATAATATACTCCTCATTTTAAAATTTTTAAATGCAGATACCAGTGAGCAATCTGCTGCAGATTCTGGCATGATGGAACTTGAATGACTTTTGCTCAGGTCAAATGGAGACATCCATGCACTAGACAGTGGAGAAGACCCTAATTTGGGGTGGAGGGCATGTTTGTGTTTTCTTACGGAAAAAGAATAAAGCTTCGGCAGCTGTCAGAACATTTGGTGAGATGCATGGAGCAGAGAAAAACTGGACCTGAGACCGTGGGAGCCTACCCAAGCCGTTTGAGTGAGATCCCCTAAATCAGTGTTCCTGACCCTTGATGTCATCGAATCTGCAGCCCGAGAAAGAAGGAAAACAGTCAGTTAGAGATTTCCACTTTCTCAACAGGCCTGCTGTGTCAACCTCCCGGACCCATGAGTTTTCATCCTGAAGCCAACAGAGAACTGGATGATTAACAGTGTGCCCTTGAAACAACAGAATTCATTTAGCCAGTTTTTCCCTTTGGGGAAAAAAGGACCCATTTAAAACAAGTGGACACTGGTATGGACTGTGAGTGGCAAAAGCCCCTTTCAGTATTTGAATAGGACACGGGCCACTTGACATATCAGCCTTGGTGGTTCCTGTTTCTGGAATCGAGACTATGCCAGTGTGTTTTTCTGGAGAAATGCAACTTGTCCTATTGAGGCAAAAAAAGAGACTTTGGCATCACGCTGTTATCGCAGCCATCTCCAAATTGGCCACTGCAGCTGCCGTGGCCAGAATTATCGTTGCCCAATCTTCCGCCAAAGCCTTGCTGGTAGAGTTATCGAAGCGCTGTCCACCCAGAATGCGCTCAATTCGCATATTCAGCTGGGGCTGCTGATGTTAAATCAACAACTGCATCACTACAGGAACAAATTGGTGCTCTGTGGATAGTGCAACAAACCTCTTGTTCACATTTTTATCATGCTACATGTGTAACATCAATGTGTATCTCTTGCATCTGTGCAAGTGCACTTTCTACATGCTTTCCTGAGTGGATCTTGGAGTGATATCTTTGTAAACATTATCACTGTTTTGGCCATCAAATTGTAACTGTAAATCATATGCGGGTTACCCTTGTAACAGAGAAAGGCTGGTAGAATGCTATGGCCCAGATCGGGGGATGGGTACGGCGATGCGGAGGCGCTATGTCAATGGGGGTCCTGGGAGTGGTGGCAGTGGCAGTAGGCATTCTGGCTTTATGCCGAGCTCAAACGTGCCTTGTTCCATAGGCAACAGATCCGTCACCAAGTATTGCTCAGCTTAGCCCATGGCAATCCCGGTAGCCATGAAGTCTGGTTACAGATGATTCAAGGATGAGGTTCTCTGATGACGGGAAACCTGTGGGGAAAGGACCTCCCGCCTAAGACAGGGGTCGCCAGGTCCCCCAAAGACGGGTAAGGGAGGGTGATCCTACTTGACCTAAGACAGGAGTGCCTCATTAGAAAATAAAAAAGGGGGAATTGTGTGGACACCAGACCTTGGCCGGAGGCCCACTTCCCCATCAGCCTGGGGGCAGGCAGCTGTAACCGACCAACCGCAGAGAAGACATGTTCACTAAGAACAATCGGGTGCCTGTAAGCAATGTTTACCGTAGCAATAAGTTCCTGATGAGGGCTCGCCCACGGAACACCCTGACCTTGACCTTTTCCAATGACTCACCGCCTCTTCCTGAGCCCCCACCACAGCATCTGGTGTCTGGGCATATAACCAGCCGGGGTAAGAATAAAGTGGAGCCTTCTTGAGGGGCCTTCTGGGATCTTCCTTTGCACCACCGACTGGTCTCTGTGTCGTCAATCCCGACACCCTCTGCACATCTCGGACACAGGCTGTGCAGCAGGCGCAGCAGAGAAAGGATAGCATGACCCAAATAAGGCCGCTGTTCCTCATACTCTGAGACACATGCACAGGCGCAAGCATGCACATGCATGCATGCACACACACACATGCACACACACACGCACGCGCACACAGGCACACACACATGCACATGTGCGCACACACGCACGCGCACACACGCACGCGCGCACACACACACACGCACGCGCACACACACACGCACACATACAGGCAAGTATAGGGAGGCAAGGCTACCAAGATGACACAGATGTGGACCGCCTTGGTGACGCCTGTGACTGAAATAGGGTCCACCTCCATTTTGGACTCAGAGAAAAGAGTAAAAGCCTGCCACACGGAGGAACCACGCTCAGAGCCAGAGGTGGAGTTCGCAAACACAGCCATCGGAATACAGCTCTGTAACTAGCTGGAGGAGGAAACGCTGGGGCTGCAGACACAGCCCAGTGCTTAGCCAACCTTCACCAGTGAAGACTGGGAATGTGGTGTGGCTCTGTGGTACAGTGTTCAGCTCAAATCCATCAGTTATCTATAGAGACTCAGTGTGGCTCAGTAGTAGAGCCTCTGCTTAACTAAAATTTATCAAAGAGGGGTAGGAGGCAGGCATGGCTCAGTGGTAGAGACCCTGCCTAGAATCCCCCAGTGAGGGGCTGGGGGTGTGGCTCAGTGGTTGAGCCCCTGCCTAGAATCCCCCAGTGAGGGGCTGGGGGCGTGGCTCAGCGGTAGAGCCCCTGCCTAAAATCCCCCAGTGAGGGGCTGGGGCGTGGCTCAGCGGTAGAGCCCCTGCCTAGAATTCCCCAGTGAGGGGCTGGGGTGTGGCTCAGCGGTAGAGCCCCTGCCTAGAATCCCCCAGTGAGGGGCTGGGGGCGTGGCTCAGCGGTAGAGCGTCCCTGGGCTCCCTCTCCAGCACTGGGATGGAAAAGCAAACAAAACAAGCAACCTAGTTAGTTCAAAAGCCAAAATCTGAGCATCCTATACTTGGAATTTATCCTTGGCTCCCACCGGGGTCACTCCCTCTAGCAGCCACTCTGGCGCCGTAGCAGTCTCCATCTTCAGAGACACCTCCACACCTCGGTACTGAAGACCAGTTTTATGCATCTAGGTGCTGGCTTGCTCCCTTAGCCCACCAGGGGGCGCCCTATTCCCAGGTCTCGGGGCAGCTGGACCAAAGGTATCAGTTTCTCCACTGTCCGGTCCTGTGCGTCCTGTTTTGGTCCCTAGGAAACTGCATGAAGAGCAACGTGAAAGCAGCCAGTTTGTAGAGAAAGGCTGGGAAGCCTTGAAGACAGTGCATGAGCTGGGAACAGCCCGCACACAGACAGGTGGGAGGCTGTGGGGCTCCCCCGCAGCTCAAGCTTACCTCCACCCTCCTCAGGAAGCACGCCCCTTCCTCCATTTCTCCTGGTGATTGCTTGCAGTCTCATCTAACCCGCCCTGTTGACCTTAAACTCTAACTGTCCTTGGGCTTCCTTCCGAGTCCATTCCTAAACTTTTAAATTGAGGTGAAGAACCCCGCAGGGGAAACCTCGGCTCCCCTGGTAACACCAGCACTCCGTCCCGTGAAATCATTCCACGGACGTAAGAAGTGCATCGCTCCCGAGGGCCACGGCGGAGGCGCAGAGGGTCAAGGCCAGCCTGGGGTACTACAAAGGAAGACCCTGACCAGAAATACACAACAAAACCAAAGCAAAGCCGGACCCATCTCTGACGACACGGGACTCCGTCAGCAGTACCCGGCCAGTGCCACACGCAAGCACAGGTTCAATGCTTCTCTGACCGGCTTCAATGCCCCAGCACCCAGGAAGTAGTCTTCCTCCAAAGAAAGTCTGACTTGCATCCGGCTCATGAGGTTCCTTTCCGTGAGATTCTGACACACGACCCAACCCTGAAGTCTAAAGCGGTTGTAGAGGTTCTAGAATTCGTGCTAGAACTGCAAATGCTCTTACCACCTCAACTCTCGCTACATGGTACATGAATGTGTGTGCGTACGCGCGTGCGAATCTGCTGTGACTACGACAATAACCGCCTTGGCCAAAGTTTTTAGAAGAAAACTATATTCTTTTAAAAGGAAATGCAAACATCCTCGGGGAGGGGGGGCCTTAATTTAGGTCCAATCACATGGCTTTGTGGTGGAGGCATACACGGTGCTTGCAGACGCTCCCTGGGGTCTGCAGGGAGCTCCCCCGGGGACCCTCTCTCCGCGCCTGGGATTCGCTCGCGGTCTTCTGAGGCTGCTGGGGAAGCACCATCCCAGGCCGGGGTCCAAAACGGCGGAGAACTGCGGCTGGAAACACCCATCAAGGCCGAATTCCCATGTCTCCCGGGCTGTCGCTGCTCCCCGGCTGAGAGTGCAGCACCACCCCCACGGGACCGCGGCCTGACTCCCGGGAGATGCGGCCAGGCACAGAGGGTGGCCTGTCCCCGGGCTGCAGGGCGCAGGTCTCCTGGAAGCCAGCGGGGGAAGTGGCTTGAGGCACAGAAGGTGAATAAATAGGAATCGCTTATTTGTCGCAGGGGTCCGGCCCCTGCGGAAGGGACAGCAGCTCGGTGGATGGAGAGGGTGGGGGGTGACCCCTCTCTCCTGACGGCTGCTTCTCAGAGCTCAGTCACGTGCACAGCCGGTGACCGGAGCGGGCCCTGTCCGAGGCGCCTCAGGTGGCATCGGCGGCAGAGCAGATGCCCCTCCAGGGGGTAGCAGCGGCGTCCCTCCTCCCCGCTCAGCTGGAGCCCGCAGTCCTGCAGAAGAAAAGCCACAGCCCTGAGCAGCCAGTGAGCTGGGGCCGGGGCGTCCTCACCGAAGGAACATCGGGGTTGGGGTAGATGCACCGCCTGCGAGCTCAGTGAAGCAGAGGAGGAGCAGCCTCTGACGCCCGAGGACTTGGCGCCGAGTCCAGCCTCAGGGAAAGGGCGGTGGCCGCTATTAGATGTAGGCTCAGCCTTGAGACTGGGTCTCTCTTATCCCAACACCCAGCTTCACAAGCTCTGGTTTTTAAGAACAAGGCAGGGCCGGGCGATGGTGGCGCACGCCTCTAATCCCAGCACTCGGGAGGCAGAGGCAGGCGGAGCTCTGTGAGTTCGAGGCCAGCCTGGTCTACAGATGGAGTTCCAGGACAGCCTCCGAAGCCACAGAGAAACCCTGTCTCGAAAAACCAAAAAAAAAAAAAAAAAGAACAAGGCAGGGCTGGAGGGATGGCTCAGTGCTAAGAGCTCAGATCTCTGCGCTCACAGAACAAGTCAGACTCTACACACAGAGACACAGGTACTAACACATCCACACACACACAAATAAAACATTAAACTCTTGATAGTAGTAATAAAAACTTAATAAGGCAACAGCCAACTTCCATGTGTGGGAGCCACATCTGTAATCCCTGCATTCCAGAGGCAGAAAGTCAAGTTTCAGGCCAGTCATGGCTACACAGCATGACCATATCTCAAAAAAACAAAGGCAATAAAATTCCAAGCAAGTTGACTGTAACCCCGGAAGTAGGAGACTGGGTTTGAGTCCAACCTGGGCTATCAAAATAATTCCAAAGGCTGGAGATCTAGCACGGCAACCGAGTTCTAGGACAGCCAGGGCTGTTGTGGGATAGCCTTTATGAACACTGGGACGATGTCTCTTTGACAAGGCACCTTCTGATCCGTTTAATAACGACTGAACGGGAGAGGATGGGGCGCTTCTGGGGACACAGGGGAAAATGAATCTAGGTGCCCGGAGACACCAGTGAGAGGCAGAGCAAGCCGGACACACAGGATGGAAGAGCGGTAAAGCCACACGGCAGAACAAAGATTAAAAAAGAACTCCGGGGACAAGCCTAAGCTAAAGGCAAGCTTTCATAATTAATAAGAAGTCTCCGGGTCATTATTCGCAGGCTGGTGGTCCAAGAAAGTCCGGTGTGAAAGCTTACTACATTGAGATCCATAGTGAGACCCTATTTCAAAAAAGCAAATAAACAACAACGAAAAAAGTTGGGGGGGGGAGGTGTGAAACGATCCCTTGTTCGTGGAGGAGGTGGCTGAGTTGCCAGAAAGATTTTGGCTATTTGGGGAGATGTCCTCAAGGGGACTCTGGAACCTTAACCTCTTTTTTTCTTTGTTTTTCGAGACAGGGTTTCTATGTGGCTTTGGAGGCTGTCCTGAAACTCACTTGTAGACCAGGCTGGCCTCGAACTCACAGAGATCCTCCTGCCTCTGCCCCCCAATTGCTGGGATTAGAGGTGTGGGCCACCGCTTTTTTTCTCATACACGGACTATCGTTATTGTTGTTTTGGTTTTTCTTCCAACAGGGTTTCTCTTTGTAGCGACCCTGGCTGAGCTGGAACTCAGAGATCTGCCTGCCTGCTGAGCGCCGGGGTTAAAGAGGACTCACCACACCGCCTGGCTGCATGCACCATTTGCACGTGAATGCGGGTGTGCCACGCAGGCCTGTGGGGGTCAGAGGACAGCCTGCACAAGTCGGCCGCCTCAGCCAGGCGGCGCTGACGCACGCCTTTAACCCCACCGCTCGGGAGGCAGAGCAGGCGGATCTCTGCGAGTTCAAGTCTGGCCTACAGAGTGAGTCCCAGGACAGTCAGGGCTGTTACACAGAGAAACCCTGTCGGGGGGGGGGTCTCTCTTCCACCGCCTGGGTGTCACCTCCCCCCCAAACCTTCCCTGATTTTTCAAGGTTCTGACAATTCCCTTCAACAGCACCTCATGTGGGGCACTGTCAACTCTAAGTCCAACACCCACCTCGTGAAAGCGTGGCTATCCGAAAGAGAAGAGGGCATGGGGGAAGGAAGGAACAGACGCCCAGCGCGAAGGCGCCTCGGCGTGGGGGAGGGCCAGCCGCACGCCTGTGTGAGGCCAGGGCTTACCTCACAGTGGTAACACTCCACATGGTAGTCTCTGTCCATGGACACCACACGGATGGTTGTCTCACAGCCCTGGAGGAAGAGACAGGGCTCACCCTCGTGCCCCTGGGCCTAGAGCAATGCTACCTGTCCGTGAAAGGCCCCCTCAGGCTGGAGAGATGGCTCAGCGGTTAAGGGCACTGCGTGCGACTGCGGAGGACCCGGGTTCGATCCCCAGCACCCACACGGCGTCTGTGACTCCAGTTTCCGGGGACCCAACACCCGTGACAAGACACTAGCGCACATAAAAATAATAATAATAAAGAAAATTAAAGCGCCCATCTCTACAATGTGCCAAGGGACATGGTACTTCAGCACGTGGCCAAGAGTGGGCGTGGATGTGCTCTGGGCATCTTCCCCAACAGGAGCCCCCCCCCACGCGCGCGCGCGCGCACACACACACACACGCACGCGCACACACGCACGCGCACGCGCGCGCGCGCACACACACGCACGCACGCGCACACACACGCACACACACACACACGCACACACACGGCCTCCGTAGCTGCTGCTCTACCCCAGGCCACCCAACCCCCACTGCAGAGATGAACCAGAGCCGAGTGACCATCCCTTCCCTGTACAGGAACGGAACGGAGCAGAGTCCTGCCGTGGGACAACAGGAGGCAGGGCTACCCCTTCCGGGTGACGCACTCCTGCGTGGACGGCCGCTACACTCCTCAGTGCTGGGGAGCGCTGAGCATGGCCGCCTTTGCCGCCCACCCCGTCTATGGCCCAGGGTCTGAGGCAGAGCAGACAGCAGTGAGCAAAACCTCAGGGCCAGGAACCTACTGCTTCCCTGGGAAAGTAGCCCTACCTGTGCAGGGAGGATGGGGCGGGCACAGGAAGCGCATTTTGGTGCAAACACCCTAGGAGGATAAAGGAGATTGGGCGTGAACGTGTGTGAGCAGAGGCGAGGGCCCAAGGGCGCGTCTGTCTCCGTGTGGGTGAGCAGATGCCCAGTGTCCGCCTTCTCGGTACCACTGCTTGATGCTGTTCCTAGCTGTCCCATCCCTCCTCCTCCTCCTCCTCCTCCTCCTCCTCCTCCTCCTCCTCCTCCTGCGGGACGGCCTCAGGCTCTCCCCAGCCATCTCCCATGCACTCTCTAGCCCCTGATACCCAGACTGAAACCATCCCTAGGGGAGGCCTCTGCCCCACCCTGAGTGCCAGGGACAAATGCCGGCCCCAATCTCCCACGCCGGCAGCCGCCGCTGCAGCACACTCTGAGACCAGAGCCCGAGCCCGCAGTGACAGCGCGCTACAGACTGGGAGCCGAAGGCAGGGAAGAGTCAGGTGAGGCCCCAGGAAGAAGAGCGGGCATGCAGGCAGAAGCATGAGGGAACCCAAGGCCAGGCTACCCAGAAGAGGGGACCAGAAGGGACCAGTGCCCCGCCCTGCCCTTAGGGCTTCTGCCTGACCATCCTCCCAGGCCCGAGTCTCAGGACGCTTGCTCCCCAGCAGATGGCGCTGTCCTGGGAGCGCAATGCTTGCAGCTCACTCCAGGGTTCCTCCTGCTCCTGCCCCCAACCAAGGCCAGAGCTGTCCTCAGCACCATGCTTTCAACACCAGGCCTGCCTGGCCCATCGTGGCAGGCATCTCCTGGAACCGTGAGCCCAAAACCAACCTCTCCGTGCACTGTCTCGTGAGGAGTGCGACCACAATGGGAAGTCACTAAGACAGACACACCTGCCCCGACTGCTAAGAAGACACGAAGTCAGGAAAAAGAAAAAAGGGGGCCGGACGCGGAGGGGCAGAGACGGGCGGGCGGGAAGCAGCCGGTGAGGGGCTCCGGCAGGGGACACTCACGTGTGGTAGTCTCTGACACAGTAGATGTTGTTCTGCACATCCACGGTGAAGGGCACCCCGTCCAGACACTCGTTGCACACTGAGCAGCGGAAGCAGCCCGGGTGGTACGACTTGCCAAGGGCCTGCAGGATCTTGGGGGGTGGGGGGGCACCGAGAAGTCAGCATGGGCCAGAGACTCGGCAGCGCTGCCCCCAAGAGGCCACGGAGGCCTGGAGCAGGAGAGGGCGGGGCCACCGGGGGAGGGTCTCACCATCTCCATGATAAGGTGTCCACACACGCTACACTTGTCAGCTGTTTGCTGGAACCCGGAGTACTGAGAGGGGACACAGGATCCAGGGCGTCACGTTTGACAAAGGGGGGGCACTCACTGTCGCTGGCCTCGGGTCTGCATGTGAGTCCGGAGGAAGAAGGGTCCCGCCCAGGCTCCCACCCAGCTCGGCCAGCAACACACAGTGAAGACTCACCAGGAAGTCCTCCCGGCAGTACACTTTCTCGCCCACGTTATAGAAGGCCTTCCCGCGGAGACGTCTCCCTGGAAGGGGAAGGGGTAAAGCGGACGTCCCTGGGAAGCTAAAACCAGGGATGGAGGAACCGGGCTTGAATGCCGGTACTCACCTCCTACCAGTGAGAAGGTAAACTGTGAACATCTCCAAACATCCCTTTATAGACTTATTTTACGAGTGCTTTACCTGCATGTACACTTTTGTGCCAGGAGAGGGCGCCAGATCCCACTACAGATGGCCGTGAGCCACCGTGTGGTTACTGAGAATTGAACTCAGGACCTCTGGAAGAGCAGCAGCCATCTCTCCGGCCCCCTCTAAACATTGTCAGTGCTATGCTGGTGTTATCAACATCTCAAGTCAGAATGGTGTAACCCAGCATCCCACAGGTGAAAGTGGGGACCCCAAAACCTAAGGACAGCCTAGGCTACAAAGCAAGACCTACTTCAAAACCCAAGTGATAAAACCGGGTGTGGTGGCACACGCCACTGATCCCAGCACTGGGAGGCAGGAGGATCAGAGATTCAAGGTCACTCGTGGCTACAAAGCCTGGCTGGAGGCCAGCCTGGTCTCTCTTAAATAAAAACAGTATTTCGGGAGACACTATAACAGTCAACAAAACTGTAATCAAAGCAAATACGGGAAGGCCTCCCTCCCCCACGCCTCTCAACTGCTGCCTCTCCCTCTGCTGTCGGCCAGGCACTGCCATCCGGCAGGAGGCGCCAGTAGCTACTACCAACAAGAGGGAACTTCACCCTCGGGGAGGTGCCCGTGAAAACCACGAGGCAGCACCAAGCACGCCGTGAGACGTTAAGTACTTTTCCTCTTGAACAGTTTTGCAGCAGAGTATGGCTGCCCACACCTGTAGTTTCAGATCTCAAGAGGCAGAGGCAGTAGGAGTTCAAGGCTAGCTTGAGATATATAGGAACACCTTGTCTAAAAAAACCCTCAGAGCTGGGGAGGGGTGTGGCTCATTGGGGAACACCTGCCTAGAATCCCCCAGTGAGGGGCTGGGGGCGTGGCCCTGGGTTAGATTTCCAGTACTACAAAACAAACAAGATTAGTCAGTCTTGTACTAGAAGTTCTGGGCAGTACGTAATAACGAGTTGTACGCAATTAGTAGCGACATAGACTACTAAGAAGTAAAGCTATCTATAATCAGAGATGACATGATTGTGTTGTAGAGAAAACCATTAGTAACCCACTAACCCTAGTAAGTTTATTATAATTGCAGGGTAGAATACAAGACCAGCATATAAAAACCAAATATCCAAATGAATTTTTTTTTTTTTGGTTTTTCGAGACAGGGTTTCTCTGTGGCTTTGGAGGCTGTCCTGGAACCAGCTCTTGTAGACCAGCCTGGCCTCGAACTCACAGAGATCCGCCTGCCTCTGCCTCCTGAGTGCTGGGGATTAAAGGCGTGCGCCACCAACGCCCGGCTCCAAATGAATTTTTATTCTGGCAACAAATATTAGGAAAATGAAGTTACAATTTTTTGTTTTGAGACAGGGTTTCTCTGTTGTCGCTCTGGCTGTCCTGGAATTCAGTCTGCAGACCAGGCTGGCCTGGAACTCAGACATCCTCCTGCCCCTGCCTCCCCAGTGCTGGGACTACAGGTGTGCTCCACCACCGCCCAAACAGTAATATTTTTTAACTTATAATTCCTAAGCTTGAGGTTTCGCAGGGTTGCAACACAGACAGCGGGTGCAGCATCTGCCATGGGAAGTGAGCTTGAAAACTGTCCCCCAGAAAGTCATGCCTTCTATCAACACCATGAAGAGTGGCATGCTGCAGGGTAAGATTCCGAATTCTGGGGCTGGAGAGACGGCTCAGAGGTTAAGAGCACTGACTGCTCTTCCAGAGGTCCTGAGTTCAGTTCCCAGCAACCACATGGTGGCTCACAATGATCTACAATTCAATCTGGCGCCCTCTTCTGGCATGTAGGCAGAACACTCTATATGTAATAAATAAATCTTAAAAAGGCAAAAACAAAAAACAAAAAACCTCGGGAGAAAAAAATTTTTTGAATCCTTCCCAGCAGTGCTGTTCATCTGTAAACGCAGCCCAATCTCAATGTCAGCATTGATTTTTTTTTGTAGAACTAAGACACAAAAAGTGGCAAGGAGGGCTGAGGTGGCGGCTGTGACCTGTGGCCCTGAGTTCAATCCCCAGTGTCCACATAAAAAGCAGCGTGTGCTGGCAGTCGCAGTGTGGGGAGACACAAAGAGGGGTACTCGCAGCTTCTTGGCCAGCTACACTACTCTAATTGGTAAATCGCAGGTCCCAGTGAGAGACGGTCTCAAAAAAAAAAAGTTCCCAAGAAACAACACCTGGGCTGACCTGTAGCCTCCACTCACATAAAACTCTACATGAAATATTCATCAATCTACACATAAACACAACCTGAACTGAGTGTGGTTGCTCATACCTGTAATCCCATCACACAAAAACTGAAGAACTGGGCTTAGTCCAATTTAACATTTCTTAACAAAAGCATCACTAAAATAGTTTTGAAAAAAAATCACACAAAGGGGGGGGCTGGAGAGATGGCTCAGAGGTTAAGAGCACTGGTTGCTCATCCAGAGGTCCTGAGTTCAGTTCCCACCAGCAACCACATGGTGGCTCACAACCACCTGTAATGAGATCTGGCGCCCTCTTCTGGCCTGCAGACTTACATGCAGGCAGAACATTGTATACATGATAAATCCTTAAAAAAAAATCACACAAAGAGATTTTGCTCACAAACTATACATTGGCCAAATAATCTGGCCAATGTTTGTGAGTAAACTCCTACAACTCAGCAATTAAAAAAACAAGTAACCAGGAGGCAGCAGCAGGATGACCTCTGTGAGTATCAGGCCAGCCTGGTCTACATAACAAGTTCTAGGCTGGCCAGGGCTAGCTAGCTACAGAGAGAGACCCTGTCTCAGAGACAAAAAGCTCAAAACAGAAGCTGAGAGATGGTTCTTGCTGAGACCCTGAGTTCAGTTTCTAGCACCCACAAGGGATGGCTCATAGACACCTGTAACTCCAGCACCAGAGACAACACCCTTGGGCTCCTTGGGCAAATGCACTCACATATACATAGTCCCCATCCAGTCAGTCAGACAGACAGACACACACACACACACACACAAACATATGCACACACACGCATGCACAATAATTAAAAGTGCCTCCCCTCCAGTGTGAGGAGCCGCCCTCGCTATCGCTATTGCCGTTAGAAGATGGCGCTGACATCCACTGTCAGTTGGAGTTAACTGTCGCTGTCAGTTGGAGTTAACTGTCGCTGTCAGTTGGAGTTAACTGTCGCTGTCAGTTGGAGTTAACTGTCGCTGTCAGTTAGAGTTAACTGTCGCTGTCAGTTGGAGTTAACCGTTTAAACTGTGCCTCTCCCGTGACGTCATCTGGGGTGATGTGCAAACCACCAATCCCGGCTCTACACATCTCACTCGGAGCTCCTAGGCTTATATAAGGGGCTGGGTTTCTTAGCTTGGGGTCTCCCTCTAAGAAGCTGATCATCTATCTCTCAAGATGCATTAAAGCTTTACTGCAGAAGGATCCGAGTGTTCTGCGTCGTTCTTGCTGGCGAGACGGTAGCGCGGGACATCTGGTGCCGAAACCCGGAACTCTTCAACATCGCCGGCGCCGCGGGAGACCCCTCGGAAAACGGGGCGGATTCAGAACTGCAGGGACGTAGGTTCAGAGAGGTATGCTTTATCCTGAACAACCCTTTTCTCGACTTTGGCCTTAGTTTGTCATCACCGTGGGACGGGTCAGTGGAGGCTTTGGTGCTAGTCCTGTTTGTCCTTCTCCTTCATCGTGGCTGGTGCTGACAGAACGGCGCTGTCCATCTGGCGCTGTCCATCTGGCGCTGTCCATCTGGCGCTGTCCATCTGGCGCTGTCAGTCTGGTGCTGTCAGTCTGGTGCTGTCAGTCTGGTGCTGTCAGTCTGGTAACGGAGTTGAGCGCGTTTTTATTATCCTGAACAACCCTTTTCGACTTTGGCCTTAGTTTGTCATCACCGTGGACGGGTCAGTGGAGGCTTTGGTGCTAGTCCTGTTTGTCCTCTCCTTCATCGTGGCTGGTGCTGACAGAACGGCGCTGTCCATCTGGCGCTGTCCATCTGGCGCCGTGTCCATCTGGCGCTGTCCATCTGGCGCTGGCCGTCTGGTGCTGTCAGTCTGGTGCTGCCAGTCTGGTGCTGTCAGTCTGGTAACGGAGTTGAGCGCTGTTTTTTAGATAAGCTGTCAGCGCGATGGGGTCGTCACAAGTCAGTGGTTACAGCCTTACAGACTGTGCTAAAACAAAGAGATCTTAAAATTGCACCACGAACACTTCAAAATTTTGTGAAGGAGGTAGATAGAGTGGCACCATGGTATGCTTGTTCCGGGTCCCTCACTGTGGCCTCATGGAACAAGCTAGGTAAAGAACTAGACAGGAAGCATGCAGAAGGAGATCTCTGCTTAGGTACCAAAGCCATTTGGAAGCTAGTTAAAAACTGCTTGGAGGATGAGGCCTGTCACCCTGCTATAATAGAAAGTCAGGGAACCTTAGAGGAAGTTCAGGATAGCATGTCAGAAACTGAACGGAGTGAGAGAATGGGAGCTCGCAAAAGAAAAGACATGTCTAAGAAAAAGGCCCTCCCCAGGAAGTTAAGAAAGGGGGAGAGAAAGAAGGGAGTTATCATTCACCCCTTAACAAATCTAAGAAAAGAAAAAGCCAGAATCTAGTCTATACCCTGCAGTAGAGCTAGAAGCCTTGGAGCTAGATAATTCTGATTCTGACACTCTGGATTCTAGCGAAGAAGGTGGTCTAGAGGAGGAGGTGGCACGGTATGAGGAAAAAGATATCACCCTGATAGACACCGGCCACTGAAAACAAAAATGAATGTGAGGCCACCGCCTATAAATCCGGCGGGCTCACGCTTCTCAGCGCCTCCGCCATATGAGCTTCGGCTGAATACTGGTACTGACTCCTTTTTACCTTTAGAGGAACGGAGAAAAATACAAATGGCTTTTCCAGTATTCGA